TTCCCTTTCCTCCAGAAAAGTGTCTAGTAAGAAGTTGCTGTGGTCAGTGTCAAAGAGGTTTCTGCCTGTGTTCTCCTTTAGGATTCTGATGGTTTCCTATCTCACATTTAGATCTTTCAGCTATTTTGATTATTGTTTATGGTGTAAGAAAGTGTTCTAGTTTCATTCTTTTGCAGGCCGATGACCAGTTTTCCCAATACCATTTGTTGAAGAGACTGTTTCTTTTCTATTGGAAAAAGACTTTTATTCCTACTTTGTCAAAGTAATCTTTGACCAAGAATTGTAGTTCCATTTCTGGGTTTTCTATTCTGTTCCATTGACCTATATGTCTGTTTTTGTGCCAGTACCATACTGTCTCGATGACTACAGCTTTGTAATATAGCTTGATGCATGGAATCATGATGTCTCCAAGCTTTGCTTTTCTATTTCAGGGTTTCTTTGGCTATCTGGGGTTTTTCGCTATTTGTCTCATACAAATTTTAGGATTGTTTAACCTAGCTCTGTGAAAAATGTTGGCATTTTGATAGGGATTACATTAAATGTACAGATTGTCTTGGGTAGTATAGATATTTTTAAAAAATATTTTTAAATTAATTTATGGGAGAAGGGGCAGAGTGGGAAGGAGAGGGAGAGTTAGAGAATTTTAAGCAGACTCCCTGCTGAGCACAGAATTCCATGTGGGGCTTAATTTCAGGGCCATGAGATCATGATCTGAGCCAAAATCAAGAGTTGGATGCTTAACCGACTGAGCCACCCAGGTGCCCCAGGTAGTATAGACACGTGCTGATCTGTTAGGGGTCTTGCCACACTGTGGTCAGTGCCAGTTTGTCCCTGAAAACCAGTCACATGACCACACAGCAGTTCAGAGTTTATGGTAAAGTAAAGGTTTACTGCCCTCAGCTGGTGTCTCTGTCTCTATGCTAGTGAACAAGGCAGTACATTGACACTACTAATTCTTTTGTCCTTAGAGAGGCCATTCCACCCTCAAAGAAGAGGAACTGTTTTTCCCCATTCAACCCATGGGACTCTCAGACCGTGCTGCCTGTTCCTGCGCTTTTGCCCACCTTCCCACTTGCTAAACCCACCAGGCACCACCCCAGTGATGGTGTGGACTTCTAAAACTTCATACTTTGAGCTCTGCTGCTTACAAAAACTTGTAGTAGTCAGCCCCTCTCATTTTCTCAGTCAGTGGTTTTGGGACAGTTTTTCTTGTGCAATCCCTTGTGCACACTTTCACCCTTTTTCTCTCCCTCTCTTTCTCTCTCACTCCCCTCTCTGTAATCAGGGTTCTCTCCCCTTCACAGCACCCACAGTTCTCTTCTCCCCCAAATCAAATCTGTGCAACTCCTACCTTCCACAATGTGACTGTTTCTCTCTACCTGTAGATGTGCAGTTTGTTCTCTGTCCTCAGATTGATTTATTGGGTGTTCAGAATAATTTGATATTTACCTAGCAATGCTCAAGGGATAAGGCAAGTTCAGGGTCCCCTTCCCCTCCTCCATCTTAATTCTATCATCTGTTTCATACTTTAAGAAAATATTTTCTATCTATTTTTTGAAATTCTCACTTTGTTCAAGCACTGCTCCCTTGACCACTTTGAGCATTTTTAATTCTCTGTGAGGTAAACTATTTAAATTAACTTCATTAGAATTGATTTCCAGAGATATCTTCTTTTGTTTGAAACTTCTTTTCCTGATCCTTCATTTTACTTGACTCTGCTTTGGTCTCTGCTCTTTAGACAAAACTAATTGCTTTGAACAGTCTTTACTGATGGGCCCTGCACATAAGAGGATCCTAACAAGTCATCCTGGCCAATGATTATGGGGGCCTCTACCAAATCTTTATCTCTCCAAGAGGAAACATGCATCTGTGTCTTTTTCTGCTCTGTCTGTGTTGGGCAGGTGAGAGAATCAGTAGCATCTACCCTCACAAGCTTCTGCCTCTATTCTTACCCTGGCAACTATATCATGCTTGGCCCATCTACACTGCAAGATTGGTGAGACAGATGCCGATTCTTTGGGCACTTTTGGTGAAGTAAGAAAACTGCATGCATGGATCAACTTTTTCTTCCCCAGGGAGAAGCAGAGCTGGCATCTTTTTGTCCATTTACTCTGTGTTTAGTGGGGACACAGGGGGAGAAATCAATGGTGTCTACTAGCCTAAGTCACCATCTCCATTTTTGCCTGGATGGCTAGATTTTGCTGAATCTATTAGAGCTCCAAGACAGGTGAAACAGGTTCTAGTTCTTTGGATAGCCCCTCCAGAAAAATTGGGGCACTAGACATGGACAAACCTTTCTCATGCTCCGGGTCAAGCTGGGAGCCAGAGTGTCTTTTTGTGATCATATGGCAGTGGACTGGGGCAGTGTCCTTGTTGAAAGGGTATGCCAAATCTTCAAATTGGCTGGATGAGTCTGATTTTGCATTCTTCCAGAGTCTGCAGGGGCCTTTCATTAGTTTCTGTTTCCTTATAAAGGAAATTTGTCTGTGAATCGTTGCTGAATTAGTTTTTTTGTTTTTGTTTTGTTTTGTTTTTGTTTTTTTGTTTTTGTTTTTTTTTAAGGGATGGAGGGTTCAGGGCTTCCTGTTCCATCATCTTTCTGGTCAGAGTTTTATCCTTTATTTTATTTTGTTAAATACTTTTTAGCCCCAAATTCTTTCTGTTCTTCTTGTCAGATTCTGATATGTATTTTAGATCTTTTGTTATTGTTCCAAGTTCCTTGAGGCTCTATTCATTTTCTTAGTTCATTTTTCTCTGTTTTACATATTGATCAACTTCTATTATATACAGATCAACTTCTGTTGATCTGTTCTCAAATTCACTGATTCTGTCCTTGCCATCTCCACTCTACTTATGAGCCTATCAAATATTTTTTGTAGGTTTATTACATTGTTTAGTTAAAATATTTTTATCTCTTTTATGGCTTCTATTTATTTTCTGCTCTTTAATTTTTTCAACATTATTTGTAATTGGTTACGGAAGCAATATTTTCACAGCTACTTTAAAATCTGTTAGTTCCAACATGTGAGTCATCTCAATATTGTTATCAGTTGGTTTTATTTTCTCATTCTTGTGACCATAGCCCCTGTAGCATTCCATTCCAGCCCATTCTCCAGGGTCACTACAGGGCCCTTTCATTCACACTCTCAGCATATTTGTAGAGCTAGGTAGTAAATCCACCCGTCATAACATCCTGGGAAATTTTGCTATTTTCATGAAATTAATATACATACATTAACACCTTGACTATCCCAGCCCCCAGAAGAAGAAAATGAAGAAGTGGAGGAAGACAGAAGGAGGGAAAAAAGGAGGAAATCAGTTGGGCAGGACTTTTAATAACAGAATCACAAAAGTTGAAAGGTGGGAGAGACCTTTAAAATTGCCTAGAATTTACACAAAGTACAAGGAAGTCAAGCAACTTACCTAAAGTTGTATAGAGAAATTGGTTATCAAACTTTGTTGCCTCTTACCATAGCCAGGGGAGCTTTTAAAACTCCCAGTGCTCAGCCAGCACTGCATTAAGGGAGACTGGTATAGCATATGATTTTTTGTTGTATTCTTAGCATTCAAATCTAGTTTTTAGACAGTAACCCAGGTTAAGTTTAGATTTATTGTGGTTTGTTGTACCAATAAAAATTTCACTTTGCGGGGGGGTTAATACTATTATATTGTGATTCATTCTTCTGGCTCTTCTCAAGTGCCCGCTGGATCTTTGCTGGCACAGCCTATAGTGGTAAAAGCTACTTTCCTGTGTCTTGGTATTGCTAGGTGGGGTTGGGTGATGCAGGTCCCATGGGATAGAGAACATTTATTCTGTCTCTTCTCTAACCTTGTCAGTGCACTTCTCACTCTATCTGTTAGTGCCGCATGGGTGAGGAAAGTTCCTATCTGGGTCATTTTTTGTGCTTTGTGTTGGGAGTGTTGAGAATTATCTTATGAGGCTCATTTTCTCCCCTGGCACAAGGCCAGAAGCTACAGAGACTGAACTACTCTCTGTTGCTGGGTAGAAGGTTGGGACATGGTTTACCTTATACCTTTTTGTGAAGGAATTGTAGCGTAGTCTGCTGGAACTAGTGCAGGAAGAGGTGATTGCTGCTGCTCCTTGGCCTGGGGCAGGGCATGCTCTGCCACTATTACTGGGTGGTGGATGGGAGTTAAGCCTAGTTTTAAGAAAAAATGAATGGTTCTTGATGGAGAGATATGTCTGGGAGGAATAACATATAAACAAATTCATAGGTGAGAATGTGATAACACTGAAGTTTTTATAGCACAGCATTAAAGGAATAGGATGGACTCTAGATATCAGTAAATTTTTAAGGCAGGAAAAAGGAATATTCACTGAATGAGAATATTAGGGGCAGGACTGGGTAAAATGCTGTGAAAGTTCATGGTTAGGAGAGCTTGAACTAATGATGGTGAAATATTAAATAGATTAAATAATATGGTGAGATATTAAAGAGAAATAAAAATGAGGAAATATCAGGATGCTTTTGGATAACTTAGAAAAAAAGTGAAATGTTCACATTTGAAATCAAATTAATATTATTTATATTGAGTTAGGAGTTATAGATTATATATTCAAGAATGTCAACTATACTCAAATAAAAAAATTAACCTGACAGAAGAAAAAAAATCTGAGTCATTAAACATAATACTGTAAAATAAACTAAGATCATAGAACAGAGTAAAGCAGAAAAAATATTTACAAGTTAGAAAAAAAAACAAGAAAAAGTGTGGCTGAGGAAAGATAAGAAAGTTATTCTTCAAAAACTTAGAATTATAGCAAGAATTATTTTGCAGAAGAACAGCAAGAGTCATTACTTTTAGGTAAAAGTGGTTTAAGAGAAATAGGCTATGGGTAGATAACAAGGAAGTGGGATATCTGGTGAATAATTGGTAATGACTAAATCTGAATGTTTGATGATGTCTAGGAAGTAACAGTAAACCAAAAACTTTATTTAAAACCATTCATGAATGTATCTTCATATACTCCCATTTAGGGCCATTGCTTTTATCAAGGATATGCCACAGAAGTTCCAAAATCAGCTGTGATGCTTAGCATCTGTTCTGGACTCAGGTAATGGCATATTCTGGAGACGTACATGATTGAAAATTTTGCATGACTCCTTAATTTTTAGAAACATCTTGAAGGATAGAGTGAAGGCAAAGAAAATAAACTTTGGTTGTTTCTTCTCATATAGGTATCTCTTCCCCCTCCTCTTATCATTTTTCTTATCTCTTTGTCTCCATCCCAGGCTTGCAGTCATAGAATTTATGCAGGAAAACTCCCCCTAGTATGAGGAATATTCACATTTCTCAGTCATACTAAAACCACAATAATCCTAAATGACATAATAGACAGAAAATGATAAAATTAAGTTTGAAAGTTTATCCATGTAAGAAGAGATGATTCTTAGACTTTAGACTACAAAGACCACTATTAATTTTCTATGAAATGTTCTTATTTAGTGGTGATTTATATTCTCAGTGGAAAATCTATATTAACTATCTTTTTATTTCTTTTTTTATGTGTTTAAATATCTAGGGGATCTTTGCAATTGGAGAATGTCAGTTATGGCATTGAGCCATTGGAATCTACAACTGTATATGAGCACATGCTTTATCAAATAAATAATGATAAAATTGACTTTTCTCCCTCAAAAGAAAATTTTCTTATGCCCCATTTGGTACAAAAGTCCTACAAGATCCTTGTGAAATCAAAAGTAAGTAACTCCTTTTATGAAATCTTTGTGTTACTTCTAATAAATTTATTCACATTGAAATGTGTTATATTTGGGAAAAATTTAACTGATATTGACTATACTATACTAAAACCTTCTGTTGTAAGATGTTTATTTTAAATATGTTTTTGTTTACTTATAATATTTAGAAACTGTAATAGGTACAATCACACATAATTTAAAAATCAAAGTACTCACATTTCCCTAATTGGAGGTGTTTTTATGCATATGAACACAGTTTCATTGTTACCAAATTTGCATAATACTAATATAATGATATCCAAATTTGCTTATTATTAGTTTGTCTGTGTTTTCCTTGACAATACATGTTTTCTTTATTATTTGATAAAAAATTAAAAATAGAAAAGAGGGAAGAAATTATTCCAAAGGTCATCATCTAGAAATAGTGCTTAGAATTTTGGATTATTTGTTCCAATTCTTTTTCTATATCTAGTTACAAATGTTGATTTACAAATATATTTTTTCAAACAAAAAATGATACAACCACATATGCCTCTTTGAAATTTCCATTTTGCTATTAAGAGGATAATACACATCATGTTACACTTACTATTATTTACAATTAAATAATATGCATGTTAGCATCTATTAAAATATTAAACATATGCATTTTCAAGGAAAAAAGCATAGACCATAATGTTATTTTCTAAAGGTAAATGCACATTGCTGTGGTATCCACTGTGATCATTTTGATGTATACTGCTCTATAGTTTTTCATATATATATATATGCATAAACTTAAAATGTACATATTTTATACAATTATGTCATATTTGCATATTTATATTTTTACATTAAGTAACCAGTTTGCATGAATGTACCACAGTTCTGAAAAATTACACTTTGACTATAAATGCTTACATACAAAAGTAAGCATATTTCTAAAGGTTTTTTTTATATGTATATGTATATACCTTTATCTATATACCTATATCTATATATATCCTAACTTCTTCCTCATTTCTACAACTTTATATTTTATCGTCAGTGGTTAAATAAATGAGTATCTGTCCACACACTGTCATCACAATTGGATATCACATTGAAGAGAAGCAAAACAAAATAGTTATGAATGAAACCTGAATAGAATTTTTGATGAACTCCATCTCCTTATTGCTTCAATTTACTTTTATTTATTTTGACAATAAGTGGTATGAAAGCAGATTCATAAAACTATAAATAAACTTTCCAAAACTCAAAAAAATGATAAAGTGTAATTATATAGAGAGATGAAAATTTCATTTTTAATAAAACTGAAATGTGACCCCAAACTTTATGCCAACTCTGGAAATCACCTGCATATTGTGATACAATATGAGACACAATTGAAACAATTTCCACTTGTGAAATAGAGCACTATCACATAAGTAAATTGAAAAACTTTAAAGGAGTGCATGAATACCCTTCTGTGGCAGAGGAAGAACCTGAAGGGATGGACATAACTTTGGAAAAGACAAATAACACAGCACTTGAAGCCATCCCCCCTCCAGAATCAGCAAGAAGTCAGAGATTAAACAACATACAGATGACATGCTGTCCCAATTGCCTTGGTTTGAATTCCAAGTCTGTCTGTTTTACAAGAACCTGGGCAAATAACTTAACCTTTCTGTGTTTAAATGTTCTTATCTGTAAAATAATAATAATAATAAAATAATAATAATGATAATACCTACCTAATTCATACAGTTATTTCAAAGATTTAAAAAGTTTATAAATAGAAATTACTTAGTATGTGGATGAATTAAAAAACTGATCAATAAAAATCACTGCTATTAATAGTTGCTCCCTACAGTTTCTAATGTAGTGGAGCAAGGTAATTGCAAGTAATGATGGAAAATCTGAGTACAGAACAAAATGTAATAATGAAGTAAAATAGAGACAAAAATTTCAGAACATAAGAAGAAACCAGAATTATCACTGCAGGAATGGAGATAAATGAGTATTGATATGTGTTTTTGAATTTTATCTTTCATAAAGTAACTCGATAATTGCTTTTCATCCTGAATTTAGTAGACTTATCTTTAAGTTTGGTTAGGCATGCTTTCATATATGACCAGTGCTTTTATAAGTACAGATATATAAAATAATATCTTTACTATATCAGATTTTTAAAAGAAACAGAAAAAATAAAAGCTTAAATTTTAGATATATTTGTATGTTTTTGAAAGTAAACAGAAAAAACTTATAAACAAGGTAAACAACTTCATCATAACCAGAGTTGAAAAGTAGACAGAAACCAAACAAAATACAGTAAAGGGCTTATCTGTTGAAAGCATCTTGGGCACATGCATTTACTCATCCCTTCCTTAAACCTCCCCAAAATGAAAATGGATTTTTAAAATGGCAAAAACATACAGAAACAAAAAGAACAGGAAAGGAGTAGTAACAATGGACAACGAATAGCAGATAGCTGGTTTAAGAACCTAAATTCTAAACTAGTAATTGGGATAGGCTTTAGGAAACTTGAAATACTGCAGTACTATACTATTCAGATGTTTCTGGAATTGCATGTCCAGTTCCCCTAGGGTTTTTAAAGGTGGGCCTAAGAAGATAACTGGTTGAAAGTAAGTTGTGTAAGTAAGTAAGAAACCTTCATTTCCTTTCTTAACTAATTGTCTCTGTTGCAGACTGACAGATCATTGAAAGCTGTTTTCCTTGGGGAGTCTATGAACTGGGGACACCAGGCATGGATGTTCTATTGTATTTCCCAATAGAGGAGGAAAACCATACTCAACTAGTGTGATTAAGTTAAACCTGGCACATTGGATATTGGGAACCAGTCTTACACATTCTAAGAAGTATATTGGAAGACCCCCTCTTCAGGAGGGAATCAAACCAGCCAAAATAAAAAACAAACAACAACAACGAAAACTAACCACATTAACAGTAGGGTTTTCCCAACCAACAACCCAGACAAAATTATTCTGTGTAAAGACAAAAGTTCATAAACTCCATATGTAGTCATAGAGATGTTGAAATAAGCTATTAAATGCTCAACTGCTAATATGAAGAGGCACTAAACATATGATGAAATAAGTTAGTATGGAAGATAGAGACATGAATAAATCAAAATTTTCAAGTTTGAAGTACCAAAGAATACAGAGGGTGAGGAAGACACATGGTAGAAAAAATATTTTATCCACAAAATAAGAATGAAGTGATATTTTAAAAATAACATTCAGTGGATAAGTAACAGTTGTTGGAAATGAAAAGTAGGATAATAAAAATGTAGAAATTCAATAGAAATTTCAAAAGATAAAATTCCAGAAATTACTCAAAAAGAAAGAACAAAGACAGATGACAGAAATTTGAGAGATAAGGAATGGAATTAAAATAATAACATGGCTGAGCCCCTGGGAGACTCAGTTGGTTAAGCATCTGGGTTTCCACTCAGGTGGTGATCTCAGGGTCTTGGGATGGAGCCCTACATAGGGGTCCCTGCTTAGCAGGAAGTTTGCTTCTCCCTTTTCCTCTGGCCCTCCCCCATACTCATTCTCTCTCTCTCAAGTAAATAAAACCTTTAAAAAAATAAAGTAACAATATGGATGATAGAAGTCTCAGTATGAATAAATAGAGAAAATTAGACTGAATAACTCATAAAACAATTTAAGAAAAATTCTCAGAATTATTTAAGATTGGGACACTTGGGTGGCTCAGTTGGTTAAGACTCTGCCTTCAGCTCAGGTCATGATTTCAGGATCCTGGGATTGAGCCCCACATTGCGCTCCCTGCTCAGTGGGGAGTCTGCTCCTCCTCCTCCCTTTGCCCCTGCTTGTGTGCTCTCTCGCTCACTCTTTCTCTCTCAAATAAATAAATAAATAAATAAATAAATAAATAAAATCTTTTCAAAAAGAATTAAGATGATTTCTAGACTGATATTTTAAAAATCGGTTTCTTATATATGACCAAAATGCAGAATGGCATGAAATTTTCCCACAGCAAAACTGGAAGTTGAAGGGCAATGGGGCAATTAGTGAGGCAAAATAATTTCCAATCTGTAATTCTATACCAATCCAGAACTTCAGAATTGAGGGTTTTTTGTCTTTTGTTTTTTGTTTTTTTACTAAAAACCATTTCTTCCTAATGTGAAATATTCTTCCTAATATATAAAACAAGCAAACCACAAATGGAAGAGAGAGGCTCTAATCTCATCCTAATTGAAGATAGTAGCCAGACAAATTACAATCAAGCCCAAAAACAATAGTTGTCAAATATTGTGAACTTTCAATCAAATGAAAAGATGGAAGAATTGTGTAAACAGGCGTCCTCAATCTGTATTTTTCATGAGAATCACTATTACGTCAAATGCCACCAGATGTTGAAGCAAACAATTCTGTCAGTGGCTTAACAGGTTTATGTCTTGCTCACGAAAATACCAAAGTGGATGAAACTCTAATAGTTGATTCCCTTCCTAGCTCTGAATGGAGGAGCATAAGGGTCCCATACTAAATTATTTGATTTTAGAGTAAGGGGGAAAGGCTATGTGCATCCCCTTCGATGCAGTTGAGCCTGGACAGGTGTCTCATTGACATCTTTTCTTAGAGAAGGATGCAAACATTTTTAGATAATTGGCCGTTCATTCTTTCCTTCCTCCCTCCCTCCTTCCCTCTTTCTTTCTTTTTCTTTCTTTACTTTCCTTCCTTCCTCCCACCCTTCCTTCCCTCTCTCTCTCTCTCTCTTTCAAGATTTTATTTGTCAGAGAAAGAGAGAGCACACAAGCAGGAAGAGCAGCAGGCAGAGGGAGAAGCAGACTCCCCACTGAGCAGTAAGCCTGACTTGGGACTTGATTCCAGGGCCCTGGAATCATGACCTGAGCTGAAGGCAGACACTTAACCAACTGAGCCACGCAGGCACCCCATAATCGGCCATTTCTTATAATAAAGCAAAAATGTAGTAAAAGTCACTAATCCCCACCCACTGTTCAAGAATCGTTTGACCTGAAAGAACTACATATATTCTAAAATAATAATAATTTAAAAGGAATAAACATGGAGTATATGAAATATAAACATAAAATATAGGATAGAAAAACACAAAATCCAAATTGAATGAAAAGACTGTATATACTGCCTCATAGGTGCCACATATTGTTCTAAGAGCTTTATATGTGTGTGTGTGTATATATAAATATATGTAGTACATATATATAAATATACATATAGCCAATCTTTCCAGTTCTTTAAACCAATTTTAATGTTAGCATTATCTCCCTTTATAGAAGGGGAAATAGAGATTTAGAGAATTTAAATGATTATCCTGGGAATTTCTCTGGTAGATGTAGCATTAAAACTCAAACCCAGAGAATATGACCCCAGAGATATGTTCAGTAGTAGTTTAATGGTCTACCTTTATATAGTCTGTTTACAAATTCCTTGAAAGTGATCAGGAATTAAATGTAAAAATAAAACTAATTTTAAAATGAAAGACATTGATAAAAGAACTACTGAATAACAGTAGATAATGTGGTAAAACCCCAATTTACAATTTATGTCAACCTGACAGGGCCACATGGCCCAGATTGTTATTTTTTCTGGGAATTCCTGTGAAGTCGTTTTGTTTGTTTGTTTGTTTGTTTGTTTGTTTTTAAAGATTTGACAGAGAGAGATCACAAGTAGGCAGAGCAGCAGGCAGAGAGAGAGGGGGAAGCCAGCTCCCCATTGAGCAGAGAGCCCGATACAGGGCTCGATCCCAGAACTCTGGGATCATGACCTGAGCTGAAGGCAGAGGCTCTAACCCCCTGAGCCACCCAGGTGCCCCTGTGAGGTCGCTTCTGAATAAGAATAATCTAAATCATTGAACTTTGAGTAAAGCAGAATGTCCTCCATAATGTGGATGGGCCTCGTGCAATCAGATGAAGTCCTGAATGTAACAAAAGGATTGACCACACCCTTAGTAAGACAGAATTCTCCAAATGATTACCTTTGTACTGAAACTGTAGCTTCAGCTCACCCTGGATCTCTAAATTGATGATTTTTAGACCTGAAGTACAACGTCAGTTCTTACTGGGTTTCCAGCATACTGGCCTTTTCTATCTAGCTTTTGAATTTGCTAACCTCCATAATCATGTGATTCAATTCCTTATAATAAATCTAATTATAAGAAATAATCATACACATCCTACTGGTCCTGTTTTTCTGGGGAACCCTGAATAACTGAGTATGAAAGGCTGATAATGGCAATTCAAGATAGTAAAAATGACAGTAATGAATAAAGTAGCACCCAAGATATTCCTATTAAAGAATAAAATTTTAGAAAATACTCCTGAATTTAAAAAAATTCTTAAGAAACCTGGCAACTTGAGATACAATATGATTAATATGTTAGACTTTATAAATAGATAATGAACAATCTTAAAGGCATCTTGGCCTCAAAATCACCCATAAAAGTAGAGAAATAGACTGGCTTTAGCCTTTGCCAAATGAAGTGCTTGTAAGATAGTGTGTAATGTATATCTAGGGTGTATAGAGTGGCTTCTCTGGAAGGTATAAAAATCCCAACAATTTTTTATCTAGTCAAGTTGCCATTATAGTTTAAAAACATTCATACTTTTTCAAGAATTTTGAAACTATAATATCTATGGGACTTTAAGGCACTATTATTTAAATGAGTAGAGCAGAGCAGGAATGAAACAATTTAACAGATTTATGTAGAAAGACACAGGACCATATCAGTAGTTCCAGAAATGTCATTTGGTCAAATTCAACACCCATTCATGATAAAAACTAGGATGTAGAAAACATCCGTGATCTGTCCGTGCCCCCTCACGTGAGCGTATAAGAGGAAGACAGCCATTTGCTGTCTTCACACCACACCTGCTGGTGCCTTTATCTTGAACTTCACAGCCTCTAGAACTGTGAGAAGTAAGGGTACATTGTTTAAGCCACCTAGTTTATGGCATATTTATTAGAATCTGAACTGACTAAAATAGCCTGTAAGATTAGGAATAATGCAAGGCTGTCTGCCCTCACTGTTTCCAGCCAACTTTTTCCTAGAATTTCAATAGGAGAAAGAATAAAGGGCATACTGTGTTGAAAGAAAAATAATGTCTTCTTTTTTTTTTAAGTGACCTAACTCAGTACATATAAAATATTAAACAATTTCCACCGAAGTTATCAGGACTAATAAGAGAGTCTAGCAGGGTCACAAGAAAGAAAGAAATTGATGTTAAAATGTTTATTTTCCTCAAATGGATCTGTAGAGTCAGTGTAATCCCAATCGAAATTCCAGAAAACATTTTTGTGGAAATTGGTTCTCAATTTCATGAGGAGAGATGCAAATATCATAGATTACTCACATAGTTTTAAAAAACAAGAACAAAATGAAGGACTTACATTGTTTTTTTTTCTTAATGGGCCAGAGTGTAAATATTTAAGATTTGTGGGGCAGGTGGTCTGTTGCAGCTACTTCACCCAGCCTTTGTGGCATGAAAACAGCATAGAAGATGTATAAACAAATGGGGGTGACTCTGTTCCAATAAACATTTTTTATAAGGCAGATGGCTATATCTCAGGCCATAGTTTGTTGACCCCTGCTATAGATATGCATATTATTATTGATATAAATGTTGACATATAGAGGAGTAGTAGATCAGAAATAGACCCACATGCTATTGGCTGATTGATTTTCCACAAAGGTACTAATTAGGACTTTGGAAGACTAGAGAATGATCTATTGAATGAGTGGTGCTAAAAGACTGGATATTCACCGAAATAAAATCAATTCTGGCCCTTATTCAGGAAAATTGAATTAAAGCATAGACTTAAATGTTAAGGTTAAACATAAAATTTATAGGAAACTTAAGAGAAACCAAATTAATGAGCCACAAGCCTGTAAAAGATGTTCATTGGGAAAGATGTTCAATATCATTCATTAATCATCAGGGAACTGCAAATTAAAATGTCAATGAGATAACCATACAGACCAATAGGATTGGGTACAATGAGAAATACTGATAATACCAAATGCAGGCAAAAATGTAGAGTAATTGGCACTCTTTTTAGTTCTTGGTAAAAATGCAGAGTGATCAAACTGTTTTAGAAAGCAATCTGGCATTTTCGTCCTACTTTATACACAATTACTGTATGACTCAGGTATTCCATTTTTGAGGATATTCCAAGAAAAATTAAAGAACATAATTGCAAAAAGACCGCTACATGGATATGCATAGTCTTATTTATAATAGCTACAATTTCTTAATAATCCAAGTTCTCATCAACAGGTAAATGTATAAACAAATTGGGATATATTTCTAAAATGGCACACTACTTAACAATAAACACTAGTGAATTATTAATAATCACAATGTAACAGAGGACTGCTGAGTGAAAAAAGCCAGATATAAGAGTATGTAGCATATGATTACAGTTTTATGAAATTCTAGAATAGATTATTCTAACCTATGGTGAGAGAAAGCAGATCATTGATTGCCTTGAGTCATGTGGGCTTTTGACTTGGAAGAGTGTGATGGAAACATTCTTTAATTACAGAAATGGTTACATGGGTGTACACATTAGTATCAATTAATGTAACTGTGATAGAGTTAAATAGTTAAAAGTATAAAAATAATGAGAAATTAAAAGCAATGTTTGGGGGAAAGATGATGGGAGTTAATTTAGCTTGAAGGTTGGAGGAGGGTCTAAGACAAAGGTTTTGAGAAAAAGGAAACATGGGTTCTCCCTCATTTCACCAACTTTTTTGAGGATTCTAACTATAAAGCATATAAGATAAAAGCTTTTGATTTATTCCCAAAATTTTAATTTGGAATTTCACCTGCTAATTATTTCAGGGGCCTCCATCCTCTTATTTTCCTATTACCTATATCTATATCTTTATGTATTTGTAGCAAACTATCTCATATATCTATCATCTACCTATTTGTCTATCATTGTCTGCCTGTCTATCCCTTTCTGTGTATGTGTGTGTCTGTGTGTACACACACACACATATATATGTATATTAAAATGTGTGAGAGAAGCAATATCAGAATTTTTTCTTATAAAATGTTTTATTTTTAATTTTATTTAATTCATGTCCTCTGTTTTGCAGAAAGATTCAGATGAACTTTTGGAAAAAATTCTGAAAATACAAATCATTATGGATAAAGCTTTGGTATGCATTATTGATATTGATAATATCTTTGTTTTGTGTTTAAATTCAAAGGGAATATGAAAATGAATATTCCACTTGTCTGAAATACAGATATATTTTACTCCGTTCAAAATATGAGTGTAGCAGGACATAAAGAAATCGCCTTTGCATTGGCATTGGGGGACTAGTATGTATAGTATTGATTTCAAAATCAATATAGAATTCTAGCAAAAATGTGTAATTTGTGGTATGGACGTATTCTACTACATTATAATCCAGTCAGTTATAATGAGCTGCATGTATTTCTAGATCCACTCCAAATATTGATGAACTCTTACATAAATTAGTTTTTGTTTTAAAATACGTGATTTAATATATTATTCAATTGGAGATTCCTGTTGTTAAAATATCTTTTTTAGGATTATTTTATGCTTTATAATTTCTTGGATTCTCTTGGATTCTCTGATAGAAATTTTATATTTTAAAAATGGGAAGAAGTAGTCCTAGGGATATTCATTTAGTTATGGAAAATTTTTTTTAAAGAATTTATTTATTTATTTGAGAGAGAGAGCATGAGCGGGGTGAGGAGCAGAGGGAGAAGCGGACTCAAAGCGCAAAGTGAGTCTCCATCCTGGGACTCTGAGATTATGAGCTGAGCCAAGGGCAGATGCTTAACCAATTGAACCACCCAGGAACCTTAGTTAGGGGAGTTTTTGTTTATATAATCAGTTTTAGCAAAGTCGTTATGGGTAGCAATGAACAAATATGGTCTTTTCATTATCACTGGTATTTTTGTATAAGGTCTGTCAATATGGGCCATAATTTAATTAGACACTAGGCAAATGTTAAAATTAAATGGAAACATTTCATTAACATGTGGGAAAACATTATAAAATAACTTGCAAAATAACATATATAAAACAAAAGTATAAGAACATACATATATAAATATTAAAAAAACAGGAAATGTGTGCATAAAATTTATCTTCTGATAATAAAATTATGTTTTTTATTATTTTGCTTATTTTTTCCTGTAGTTTTTATAAAAAATTATTTAAACATCTAAATATTTCCTTTTATCCTTTGCCTCATGTTTACCATTTTCAAAGCTCTTCTTTCCTTCTTATAAGTCTGTGTTTCTGAAAATTCTGTTTAGCCTGATGAATTTGGTTCAACTTTTGCTCATCTGAAATCATTTTTATTTTATCTTCACTTTATAAATATTTTATTTGGAATATTTCCAAACTTACAAAAAAGTTACAAGAATAAGAGTAAGACAAAAATACTTATTCTTTCTTTACTCAGATTTATTAATACTCTATCCCATTACCACTTGTGCTCTATTTAAAAGTTATAAATTGCATCATGGAGCTTTTTTTTCAGTGTGCGTTTACCTAGAATAAGATCATTATCTTATATAGTCACAATAGAGTTATCCATGTAAGGAGAAATAACATTGTTAAAATACTTTTTATCAAGTCTACCATAGCATGATTGCATTATAGTTGGACAATGTGATCTAAGTGACACTCAATGTTTTATATTCAAATAACTTTTTAATATGGGTCAATTTATATAAAACTTCCATGTATGTTTGAAAAAATATAAATATTTTAATATGGATATAGATATATATACAGATACATAAGACTTCATTTATGCCACACATGCTGCATGGTGTAAATATACAATATGATTTATTGGGAAAGATTACATACAGAGAAATAGCAAAGTACAAACAGTTTCTAGAGACCCAGGAGTATAACATCTCTTTTGTCTATATCAGACAACTCTATCCATTAAATTTTATTTTCTGTTAGTAGTTCTCAGCAGATCTGCTGCAGGTTGTTGAAGATCTCATGTTGCCACTTTTCATGTTTTCAGCAAAAACTTAGAAATATGTGTACACATATAATTAAAGTATTTAAGAGAAAATATGTGATTTTTGTCTCCTTGAATGAGGACAATTGCTTGAATTTTTTTATTTTTATGGCACATTGTTTATCAAGGATATGTAGTCATGTTATCTTATTGCAATGAAGATAAATGGTGGCAGATAAAACAGATAAAAATGACTTAATACATTAGAGATTTGAGTCCCAATTCTTATATTTAGTAGTTTATAATCTTGGAAACTTACCTTTAAACCCTTCATTTTCATATGGGTGAAGAGGAAAATAATCACAACCTTCTCATTTTAATATTATTGATTAATATGTAAGCTCCACAGGTTGAAGCCTAAAACTTCCTAAGCAATTGATAATTCTTAATTCTGTTTTTTTTTCCTTTCACTGAGTACTACCTTATTCTAACATTTTACATCCATTTAAAATGTGCTAGTTTAGTAATTTGCAATAGTGAAACGAAATTTGTCTTTCAGTTTGATTATATGGGCTCTGAAGTGGCAGTTGCAGCTGAGAAAGTTGTCCATATCTTTGGTCTTATCAACATTGTAAGTATTTATGTTTAAATATTAAACATTCCTACTAATGCAATAACATTTATATTTATATTTATGAATAGCATTTGCAATTTTATTAAAAAGTTTACTCCTACCAACTAGTTTCAACCACCAATGGATTCCATCTACAAAAATGAGTAAATTGAATATATTAGCATTATGTATAGAGAAGTAATATAATTCTTATGAAGACCTAACCTGTATGTGGTGTATCTTCTATTTTTAGATGTTTTCCCAGCTTAAGGTGACTGTCAAGCTAACTTCTTTGGAGCTCTGGTCTGATCAAAATAAGATTTCAACTAAGGGGAATGCTGAGGAAGTACTACAAAGATTTGTGTCATGGAAAGAACGATTTTTGTTTCAAAGATCTCATGATATGGCATACTTATTAATGTCAGTGCACTTTTACATTCATATAGGGCTTATCAAATGATATGTGTTAGCTCTCAAAATTATATGTAAAATGTGTTATATATGATGACAAGAAACCTCAAAAATTGTATGTATACTGTTAGCAAAATGCAAAGTATAAAAATCTGATAACAACATAAGACACTAAATCATGACAGGCTATTATTCTCAGAGTAGACTGTTTATCCATGGAAATGTAGTAAACTTGAAAATTTTGAAAGCCTTGGGAGAAATATGGGGCCTCAAGGATTTTAAAGATTTTCTCAGAGGTAAATAATGGAAACCATTGTTTTAACACTAAATAAAATATAAATTAGTTAACAGAATGCAGTAATTGCATATAAAGATAGTTACAATGCAAAACATTTATATAGTAATATGGTTACCTTCTGGTATTTATATACTGACCCAATGTGTAGCTATATAACTATATGCATTGTATCTTTCAAAAGTTTTCTTTTTGCTTGACTAATTTGATTAAATGGAAAGAATAAAAACATAATCCTGAAGGTCTTAAGCAATATGGAATATATTTATACATCTATTAGTGTTTCCTGAGGTATTTAAGGTCAGGAGCAATATTAACAGGACTGAAATGCTATATTCAAGTTTCAAAAAACACCTTTCTTTACTGAGGGATCCAATTCTTAAAAGGTCATTAAGTTATTAATAATTTAATATGTATTTATTTACAAGAAAAATTTTGTTGTTTAGTTATAGGGATCATCCTAATTATGTAGGAGCAACATATCATGGAATGGCATGCAATCCAAAGTTTGCTGCAGGAATTGCTCTGGTATGCATTTTATTCCCATCTATTCAGTAATTATATCACATTTTGAAAGTTAATATCCACTTCAAGGAGCCAAAGTACATATAGTATATTTACCATGCCGTTGTGACATATTTTTATAAAATAATTTTTATTTGGATTTTTAAACTAAAATATTACAATTTTTGAAAGTTTGTGTATATGTGTGTGTATGGTAAAATACACAGAACATGGAATTTACCACCTTATAGTAGTGTTAAGTATGTTCCATTGTTGTGTGTAATAGGTCTCCAGAACTCTTCATCTTGCATATCTGTAGTTTTGTACCTTTTCACCAACATAGCCCCATTTTCCAAACCCTGACATCCACCATTCTACTGTCTGTTTCTGTGAGTTTGACATTTTTGGATTCCACATATAATGATGATCATACAGTATTTGACTTCATATGTCTGGCTTATTTCTCTTGTATAGTACCATCTAAGTTCATCTGTGTCATTACAAATAGCAGGATTTCATTCTTTTTATGGCTGAATAACATTCCATTCTGTGTGTGTGTATGTCGGTGACATTTTATTTTTCCATTCTTCTGTCAATAAACACTTAAGTGTTTTCAATGCCTTGGCTATCATCAATAATGCTGCAATGACTGTGGAAGTGCAGATATCTCTTTATGATACTGATTTTAGTTATTTTGGATAAAAATGAAAAAGTGGGTTTGCTAGATCATATGGTAATCCTATCTTTAATATTTTGAACTATCATACTGATTTTTAGAGGGGTTATGCAATTGTATAATTTCACCAACAGTTTACATTATAGTCATCATATTCTCACCAACACCTATTATTTTCTGTGGTTGCTTTTCTTTTTTTTTAAATGGTAGCCATTCTTTTGGGCATGTGGTGATATCTTAATGTGGTTTTGATTTGCATTTCTATGATTATCTTTTCATATACTTTTTAGACTTTTGTATATCCTCTCTGGAAAAATGTCTTTTCAAGTCTTTAGCCCATTTTTAAATTGGTTTATATGAATTTGATTTTTTTTATTCTTGGATTATAGGAGCTCTTTATATTTTGGATTTTAATATGGTATCGGGTATTTGATGTGCAAATTTTTTCCCTCATTTTTAAGTTGCCTTTATGCTGTTAATTATGTCCTTTGAAGCACAGAAGTTTTATGTTTGATGTAGTCCCATTTGTCCATTTTTGCTTTTGTTGCCTGTGCTCTTGGCATAATATCTAAGAAATCATTGTCAAACCTAATGTCATGAAGACTCCCCCCCCGCCATGTTTCTCTTAGGAGTTTTATAGTTTGGGGTCTTACATTTAGATTTTTAGGCTATTTTGAATTAATTTTTGTATATGGTGATGGAGGTCTAACTTTATTCTGTATGTACATAGCCAGTGTTCCCATCACCATTTATTGAAAAAGCTATATTTTCTCCATTGAGTATACTTGTTGAAGAGACTGTCCTTTCTGCATTATGTCATCTTGGCACCCTTTTATAGATCATTTAACCATATATGCAAGGGTTTATATCTAGGCCATCTAATCTATTTCAGTGATATATATGTTTGTCTTTATGCCAGTACCATACTGTTTTGGTTACTTTGCTTTATAATATGTTTAAAATCAGGAAATGTGTATCCTTAAACTCTATTCTTTTTTGAAATTAGCATGGTTATTTAGGGTCCCTTGAGATTCCATATTAATTTGGGGATTATTTTTTCTCAATTTCTATTAATAGCTTAACTTTAATTGCATACAAAAGCACTACTCACAATTCTACTCCACACTTTATGTTACTCCATAGATTATAGGATTTGTTTTGTTTTGTTTTGGTATTTGTCCTTCCAATTCTATACAATATTTAAAAGTGAATTTATCCACCAAAATTACAATAATGCATGTTACTATATTTTTCCATGTATTTACCTGTATTAGAGAACTTTATTATTTCTTTTTTGGCTTTAAGTTGCTGTCTAGCATTCTTTATTTTCAACATAACAGTCTCCATTTAATGTTTCTTATAGATCAGATAGAGTGGTAATTAACTTTTGTTCATTATCTCAGCTTTTATTTTTATGAAAAAGTGTTCATATCTGCATTATATTTTGAAATGCAGTTTTACCTGATACAATAATTTTGGTTGACAGTTCCTTTCAGCACTTGAAAAGTATTCATCCCAACCCCTTCTGGCCTATAGTGTTTCTCCTGAGAAATCTACTGATAATCTTTGAGAGCTCCCTTATATGTGACATCACTTCTGTCTTGCTGCTTTCAGGATTGTCTCCTTGTCTTTGGCTAATGGGAATCTTTGTGAGTCTCTCTGGATTTATCCTGGTTGGAATTTGTTGAGCTTCTTTTGTATGTTAACTCAGATTTCTGAAGTTTGTGGTCATTATTTCTCCAAATAAACTTCCTGTCTGTCCATTTCTTTCTTTCTTCTCTGTCTGAAACTCATTATAGGAATAATGCATACATTGGTCTGCTTTCTGACGTCAGTAGGTTCTTTTTACATCCTTCATTTTTTTCTTTTTATTTCTCTCACTGGATGATTTCAAATGATCAGTCTTCAGGTCTGATTCTTTCTTCTGCCTGATCAAATTTGATTTTAAATAACTCCCTTAAATTTTTGAGTTCATTTATTGTCCTTTTCATCTCTAGAAATTTTTTATAATAGTTTAAATCTCCTTGTTGATATATATAACCAGAATTTATTCAGATATATAAGGCTGGTTCATCATTTGAAAATCTAGTGAATGTAACCAAGTTTATCAATAAGCTATATTAGAAAAATTCTTTGATCATATCAATAGATGCAGAAAAAGAATTTGACAAATCCAACATCATTTGTGATGAAATTTCGCAAAGGAGGTCTAGAAGGGAACTTCCTTAACATAATAAAGAACATCTAGAAAAAACCTACAGTTAACACCTCAATGGTGAGAAAATAAATGCTTTTCCAGTGAGATAAGAAACAAGACAATAATGTAACTTACCAGTCCTTCTCAGCTTTGTGCTGGAAGTGCAAAACACTGGTAAAACAAAATGCTGTGAGGATGTAGAGCAACAGAAACGCTCATTCATGAAGATGGGAATGCTAAATGGTACAGCCACTGTAGAAGACCGTTTGGCAGTTTCTTACTCTTATAGTATGATCCACCACTTGTCCTCTTGGCAGTCACTCAAATGAGTTGAAAACATATCCACACAAAATCATGTACATGAATATTTATAGCAGCTTTATTCATAACTACCAAAAATTGGAAGGAAACAAGATGTCTTTTAATAAGTCAATGGATAAACACACTGGAATAAATACATATAAAGAAATATTTTTCAGTGATTTAAGAAGTGTGTCATTAACCCACTAGAAGATATAGAGGAATCTAATATTTGTTAGTGAAAGAAGCCACTTGAAGAAAAGGTTAAATACTGTTTATCCTTTATTATACTGTATATTTTACTGTATTATTATTCTGTGACATTCCTTAAAAGGCATTATCTATGGAAATAATGCAAAGATCATTGATTACCAGAGGTTTCTGTGTTACCAATATCACTAATTCTCAAGTTTTAGTTTTTAAGACGAAAGAAATGCTACTTGCCAGATGTTCTGATAATTCTGCCTTTAGAAAAAAGTTAATTTGATTTTCTTCCCAAAAACTATTTCTGAAGTGAGAACTGATTGCTGAGTCAGCCTTTAAGAATCTCTGTGTTTTTTCTGAGGGTTCATTTGGAAAGTAATATAGTTACTGAAGCAATGCTTATTTTCTCAATTTAAAAAGAAATTAGGGGAACCTGGATAGCTCAGTCAATTAAGTGTCCAACTCTTGATTTTGGCTCAGGTCATGATTTCAGGTCATGAGATCAAGCCCCACATTGGTTGTCTCTTAAATAAATAAGTGAACAAACAAATAAATAATAAAAATAAATGAAAAATAAATTTTAAAAATAAAAATAAGATTTATATCAATAATGTCATAAAATCATGAGATTGCATTAATTGTAATTATTATTTCTCAATGCTATTTGGACTAAAAATGCTATTACTCAAAGATAATAACAAAATTTACCTATTTTTCCATATTTTTAAGCAAATAATTTCGGTATACTGGTTCTTTTTTTAATTTGTATTTGCATTTACTTGAAAAGATAAAATAGGTAATGAAACAACTTAGATAAAAATTCTGATTTTTTTTTCTTTTAGTATCCACAGACGATAACTTTAGAGGCATTTTCAGTTGTTATGACACAGTTGCTTGGAGTTAGTCTGGGATTAACATATAATAATGACATCTTCACTTGTTACTGCCCAGGAACTACATGCATAATGAACAGCAAAGCAATGTAAGGTTTTATTTTTGTCAAATCTATATCTTCATATGGGAAATGTTTATAGTATTTTTAATGTAAAATATCTTTCAGTATAACCTGATTAAGAATATGTTTATTAAATAAACATGCACTTATTTAATGTTTAGTGAAGGAAGTATTTTATATTGTAGAAAATGTGCTCAATCATTCTGTATTCTGTGTAATGTAATAATGTAAAATTTATTCATTTACCCCCAAATTTTTAATGAGTATCTACTGTGTCCTGATTATTGTGTTTGATTTACAAGTGATTAACAAGATAGATAAGTCCTATATATATTTGTCCATCAGGGACAGAAAATTAAAAAGTGGGCATAAGAACATATGAACATATAAACATAAGACATAAGAACAAACAAAATCTAAACAGTTAATGATAGCTGCTAAGAGGAAAATGAATAGGGAAAATATGGGGAGAAAAAAATTCTGATAAAGTGGTCTAGGAATAATTATGGAAATAATTATGTTGGGATCTGAAAGGGAATGAATGAATCTGGTTATTAAAGAGCTCATTGAAAACTTTTCAGTCAAACCAAGTGAAGCAATATTTGGATAACAAGCTTGAAAACCTTAACAGACTAAAATAAGGAGGTTGCAGGGAGAATAAAATTGAAAAAAATATTACTAGTTGGGACTATAAGGAAGAATATTTTTAGACATAAGAAAAAGAAGTAACACAGAGTGAGGCTAAAGAATCAGTCAGAGGGAGAAGTCCAGGATATGATATAGGAATGTAGGAAAGAGCCTGCTCATGGCATTCATGATGTGGGAATTGGGATTTTATAATAACTGTAATGAAATATATTTTTAATTGGTTCTTTCAGTATGGATAATAAAAATTATAAAATTTTTGTAAAATAAATAAAATAAAAAAATAAATATACAGAGAGTATAGTGATGTTTGGGAAATGAAAAATTTTACAATAATCAATAGCAGTTTCTTATGACTGAGCAAAAAGGAGATGTCAAGAATTATTTATTGTAGAGGTTCTGGATCAAGAAGGCATCATAGGAAGAATCTGAATGCATGTCCTCCCACAGACACAACAAATCCATAGTTATGTATGGAACATTTTCCTCTAAAAAATACAAAAATTAGCTGAGGACTCCTACATATTGGGCAAATGAGAAAAAGCCCATATTAGAGTGGGAAGGAGAGGCTAAGACACAATCTTACATCTTTCTGTAATTGCCACCCCTCCCATGCCAACCCACGACTGGGAGGGACCTGAAATCAGGAGTTTCTCCCTGAGGAATAAAGGTTGGACACCCCAACCTTTAAGATAGCAGGGTTCATTTGGTTCTCTCCATCTGTTGTACTCTAGAATGTCGATCTCTTCCACAGAGGAGCTTTTAAAGTTGTCTGACATAACACTTTTTATGGCTGCTACCCAAAAGGCAACCCTCGATCACCTAGCTCTGTGGCCAGAAAGATTTGTAACAAATGGAGAGACAGTTCATGGCCAGCTACTGTGTTCCTGGTACTGCACAGACAACAGACTGAAACACAACCCCAGACTTTCTGTGAAATGGCCCATTTGATCATCCTGGAGCTTCTACATGAGAGTCAAGCTTCTGGTTTGGGACACCTCTTGAGTCCAACTAGGGTGGACTCTGGAAATGAAGTCTTATGTCATTTTGTGCCCTCAGTATGCCTCACAACAGATCTCTGGGATGTCAGGGAAAGGAACTTTTATAATCACCTGGTGCCCCTATTTTTGAAAATGCTGCACAGTGGACACCTCTATATCTCCTGGTTATGTTGGCCATCAGGATGTATGTTTGTGGTCCCATAGCACTTGTATACATTTTCATACTTTAAAAATCTGTTGCTTGAGGGTCTGTCTTCCAATAACCCTAAACTTATGTGCTGATTTAGGTCCTCCTTTTGAGGCAACGAAAGGCCTTGGTACATCCTTCACCAGTTGGAGCTAAAAACTAAAATATGCTGTTTGGACAATAAAATAAAAGAGTCTGAGACAACCAAGAGTTAGGACAAGGTTGAAGTGCAAGGTTCAAGGCAAGGGCACCCCTTCAAAACTGGAAGAGATGGGTGTTTAATCTAATACCTAGCAATGGACAGAGAATAAAACAGAATGAAAAGACAAAGGAATATGTTCTAAGCAAAAGAAGGTGGGAAAATGTCCGGAAAGGACCTCAATGCTACAGAGGTGAAGTAATCTACCTAATGAATGTGAAGTCATGGTGATAAAGATGCTCACCAAGCTCAAGAGGAGAAGAAAAGACCAAGGTGAGAATATCAACAAAGAGTTATAAAATATAAGAAAGCACCCAAAAAAGTCATAGAACTGAAGAAGACAATGACAGTTCTGAAAATTTAATAGAGGGATCCAACAGTAGACTAGATGAAGAACAAGAAAAGATCAGTGAACTCAAGAACAGGGTAGTGGAACTCACAAGCAGAGCAGCAAAAAGAAAAAGAGAATAATAAAAATGAAGATAAATAAGGGGCTTACTGGACAAATTAAGCAAACCAATATTCACGTTATAGGGATCCCAGAAAGAGAGGAAAGAGTCAAAGGGATGGAAAACTAGTTGACATTTGTCACCATGAAGAATAACATATGTGATTTTTTTTCTTGTGATAAGAACTTTTAAGATCTAATCTCTTAGCAACTTGCAAATGTACAATACAGTGATTCTTCATCCTGCCACTCTTGGTACGCACACTTGGCCAATACAAGAGCCCCATCAATACAAGAGCCCAATCCTGCCATATCAAGTGGGTGCCATCAGCCAGCACTAGAGCCCCTCCCAAGGGCCCCACATACTGGTCTGTAGGAGTCATGGCCAGGACTCTCAGGTGGGCCAAGGGCCAGCCCTGTTCGCTGGTGTGCCTGGAGCAGTAGCAGCTGCAACTCACAGGTGCCTTGAGAGACAGTCCCACTCACCAGAAAGTCTGTATCAGTCACAGCATAGCCAGAATAGGAGAATGCACACAGCCTATACAGGGGGCAGGCCTGGGGCATGTGGCTTTGGTGTCCAGGTGGGTTTGCATTACTGGGCTCTACAGGACCACCTTCTGCTTAAAGCCACTCCTGCAAGACATAACTACCCAGTACATAGAAACAAACAGAAGGAAGCAAAATAGGCACCAGATGTTGCAAATGAAAGAACAAGATAAAACCTGAGAAAAAGAACGAAATGGAGGTAAAGTTCAAAGTAATGGTGATAAAGTTGGTCACCAAACCATAAGAAAACTGATCACAGTGAGAACTTCAACAAAGACATAGAAAATATAAAAAAAGAACCCATCAAACTGAAGAATATGATAATGAAATAAAAAAACACACTAGAGGTAATCAACAGCAGATTAGATGATGCAGAAGACTGGATAAGCAGTCTGGAAGACTGGATAATGAAAAGCACCCAGAGAAGCAAAAAGAAAAAAAAGAATTAAAAAAATCGAGGATATTTTAAGGGACTTCTTGGGTGACATCAGGCATACTGGCATTCATATCATAGGTTCTCCAGAAGGAGAAAAGAAAGAGGAAAGATCAGAAAACCCATCTAAAGAAATAATGTCTGAAAGCTTACCTAATCTGATGAAGGAGATCCAAGTTCTTAGGAAGCAGTGTCTGAAATAAGATGGACCCAAAGAGAGCAAAGACACATTATAATCAAAGTGTCAACATTTAAAGATCAACAGAGAATCTTAAAAACAGCAAGAAAAAAAGAACTAGTTATGTATAAGTGAATCCCCATAGGATTATCAGCTGTTTTTCAGCAAAAACTTTGTAGGCCAGAACGGAGTAGCATGATATATTCAAATTGATGAAAGGAATACTTACAATTAAAAAAAAAAATGGTACCCATCAAGATTGTCACTCAGAATTTAAGAAGAGTTGAGGAGTTTCTCAGACAAGCAAAGCTCAAGGAGTTCATCAAAACCAAACAGGTCACACAAGAAATGTTAAGGGAGTTCTATCAATGGAATAGAAGAGACCATAATTAGAAATAAGAAAATTATGAATGAAATTGATCTCACTGGTAAAGGTAAACATATAGTAAAGGCAGCAGGTCAACCACCTATGTAACTAGTGGACAGCTGAAAGACAAAAGTAGACAATCATCTACCTATAATAGTCAAGGCATATACAAAATAAGATGTCAAATATGATATTAAAAACAAAACATAGGGGAAGTATAAATGTAGCACTTTTGGAACGCACTTAAGCAACCATCAACTTGAAATAGACTGCAATATACATAGAATTTACATATGAAATTACATATTACATATTACATGGTAAACACAAAACAAATACCAATAGTTACACAAAAAATAAAGAGAAAGGAACTTAAACATAACACTAAGGGAGGTCGCCAAATACCAACAGAATACACCAAGAGAAGAAGGAAACAGAACCACAAAAACAATAAGAAAACAATAAGACGGCAGTAGGTACATATCTTATCAATAATTTAAATATACAAATTGACTGAATTCCCCAGTCAAAAGACATACGGTGTTTAAGTGGACAAAAACAAGAGTATGTGTGCTACCTACAATAGAATCATGTCATATCTAAAGACACACAGAATGAAAGTGAAGGGATGGACAAAAGATATCCCATGCAGATGGAAATGAAAAAAAAAGTTGAGGTAGCAATACTTCTATCAGACAAAATAGACTTTAAAACAGAGGCTGAAATAAGAGAAGAAAAAGGTCATTGCATGATGATAAAGGAATCACTTCAACAAGATGATTTAACACTTGTAAATATCTATACACTTAACATAGGGGCACCTAGGGGCACCTGGGTGGCTCAGTGAGTTAAAGCCTCTGCCTTTGGCTCAGGTCATGATCCCAAGATCCTGGGATTGAGCCCCGCATCGACCTCTCTGCTTGGCAGGAAGCCTGCTTTCCCCTCTCTCTCTGCCTGACTCTCTGCCTACTTGTGATCTCTGTCTGTCAAATAAATAATAAATAAAATCTTAAAAAAAAAACA